AAGGCATAGAAAATTTCATACACAAATTAAATAACATTGATGTTATTATTTTATATTATTATATAATGTGAATATATTTTTAATTGACAAACATTAAAAATAATGTGAACATTCTCACTCGTTTGATGTGAAAATATTTTTAACGTCATCTGATGTGAACATTCGCATTCACGTCATCTAATGTGAATATTCATGTCATCATGTACAGTCAATATTTAGATACATAAGAACTACCAAAACATAATGACAATCAATAAAAAAATTATATTTAATTTTTTTTTTTGTAATATATATCAACATTAAATAGTGGTGTGTAGATAATACATTTTTTTGGAATGAATAGTCATGGGAACTACCAAAATATAATGACAATTAACATAAATATCAACATTAATGGCAACAAGAGAGATTGAGGGTGTTTTTGTCTTCTTATATCAAATAGAACCTAATAAAATAGCCAAAATGAATATGTGTTAGATGAAATAAAACTCTTAGGAAGGGACTTATCAAAAAAAGCTCAAAAAAAAAAAAAATCAACTTTTTGTAATTTTCCTACTTTGTCTCTATCCATCATTCTTATGAACTTTTTTTTATTCATGGGTAAATTGGTAATTTTACATAAAATATAAAAATTGAAAAAATTACCAAACATTGCACGAGTCAAAAAGTTGAACAATTTATCAAATAAATTATTTTTTTAGTATTAAATTTTTATAAGTTGATTTTGAGTCAATAAATTATGTTTTAATTAAAATTCTAATAAAGACTATATTTTAGCAAATAGACAGGTTACTTCATTACACATTTATTTGGTTGAGCTCTAAAAATTATGTTTTGAAGAATATTAAAATTTTAAAAATTAGTTTGGTAAAAAAATAATAATATATATTATTTTCATCTAATTTTTTATTTTTGGGTAGGAAATAATTTTTAATTTTTGATATTTATTTATATTAAATTAATTTTTAATATTGAAAAAATAATAATTAAAAACTCAACCAAATGGAGCCTAAACTGAAAAGGAGCGACAAATCTTCTAGAAGCAAATAATCTCTTTGTTGTGCCATGTCAGCAGTACACAAGCAAACAGTGCCTTGTTTTGGAGAAGCTATTAGTCGGTGCATGGTTTCCGTCAAAAAAACCAACGACTATTAACTATTGGAGAATATAGAGCCAAAAACCAAACTTTAGGGGTAAAATTGATACAATTAAAAGTATAGAAATCAAAATGAAGCTACGGATAAATTATAGGGACCATTGTTGTAATTTGTCCATAAAAATTACATCTAACAATCCACATAGACTTTCAAAATTAAAATAAAAAAATTATAATCTGTTCACACACACACATATATATATATATATATATATATATATTTTATTCAAATGAAAATTGGAAAGGAGATAGTATTCAACCTTACAAAACAAAGAGGGGGAATGCTTCCCTCCTCATATTGGCAGAGACCTACTTGTAAAGAAGTTACATTGCTAGGTGGATCCTCAAGGAAGATTAAGGTACCGTTTGATTTAGTTTTTAAATTAATATTTAGATTAAAAAATCAAAAAATGTAAATTTCTTTTTGGTTAACACCAATGTTGGCCAATGCACCAACACTTTGATTGGCTTCTCTTGGCACATGATGGATGGTGCATTTGCATCTTGTCAACATAAAGTTTCCGTCTTTAATCAATGCTATGTACGGTGGGTTCTTTCAACTCCATCACTGATTAGCTTAATTGTTATTTGAGAATCAGTTTCAACTTTATGCCATTCAGTCCATATAAATTGCACAAAATAATTCTTTAACAGACTTTATATAATGTGATAATTGTTTACATAATACTTTCAGTCAATGAAATATTACAATACAAAGTAAGCAAGTCATTTTTTATCTCTTAATTAATTAATGAAAGTGAGAATAGTTTGTCTCACTCTTAAATTTTCTGTAAGTAAATAAACACATAAATGTTTTAAAATTATTGATTAATTACCCAATTTTGAGTCGTAGGAAGAACATAATGAGGATAATTGTTGAAGGAAAGGGCATGGGATTGAAATAGGAATTGATGAAAGCAGGGCCAAGTAGAAAACCATGTTATAATGGAACTTATATGGAAAGAGTAAAGTTAAAGATTGTGGTTTATCAAATTAAGGTCATTTGAAAAAAAATAAAAGAAAAGAAAAGAAAAGAAGATAAACTGGAATTAAATCGTTTCATATGACCTCTCCTGAAATCAAATTCTTTGATGCTTGAGAATATGTTATCACTCACTACAGTACTATTGTACACCCAATTAAAATAACGAATCATGAATGCTCATGCTAAACTTCCCATCATTTAGTTTCCATTTCGTGAAATTGTGAGAAAGTGATTATCGATCATAACTTAATAGATTATACCTTATAGCTGTAAACATAAGTTGTTAACCTATTTGGTGCAATTGTGAGATTATAGATTTAAGCAGCAGAGTAGTATTTGGTTGAAAAGTTGTAAAATAATTTTTTACTGTATAATTATCCTTTTTGCCCTTATATGATATAAAAATGATAATTTTGTCATTTTTTCAGTTTTAATTTTAAAAAAAAATTTATTTCATTAATAAAAGTTAATATAATTAGTATTAATTAGTATCAATTAATATAAAAATTGATACATTTGATAAAAATGTAATGGAAGTATTATTGTAACAATTTTTTACATTATAAATTAATTAGTATCAATTAATTGCTTAATTAGTATCAATTAATACTAAAATTATTGATTAGTATCAATTAATGGCTTAATTAGTCTCAATTAATACTAAAATTATTAATTAGTATCAATTAATATTAATAATCAACAATTGCTATTAATTAGTATCAATTAATAATTAATTCATTACAAAAATATACAATATTAATTTATTAATAATTTTGTTTAATTTATTAATTCATTACATATTATTTTATTAATTTATTAACTGCCGCCGGTGGCTAGGGTTTCAACGTTGGAGAACAACGTAGATAGAGAGAGAGAGAGAGAGAGAGAGAGATGGCAGTGGTTAGGGTATCATAGAGAGAGAGAGACAGAGAGCACAGGTCGATCCTGACGGTGGCAAACAATATTGAAGAACAACGCAACCACACACAGAGAGAGAGAGAGCGAGATGGCAGTGGTTAGGTTTCAGATCGTGATCGTGATGGCGATAGTGACCAGAGGCGACGATGAAGTAGATCGTAAGAGAGAGAGAGAGAGAGAAGAGATTGTGAAGAGAGAGCAAGAGAGAAAAGATAGTTGTTCGTGAAAGAGAGCTCTGGTTTGTTCGCCGAAACTCGCCTCTCTCTCTCTCTCTCTCCTCTCTCTAGTGAGCAAAAAACCAGTGTTTTGAGAAAGGAAATTTATATACTTGGGTTTTTTGTAATAGTTGAAATTGACGAGGAGCATTTAAGTAACTTTGCCCTTTGATTTTCAACTTTCCGTTTAAGCTGAAATGGAAAAACAGCTCCTCTCCCACTCAAAGAAAAAGTTGACAATCAGCTTATAATAAGCTATAATCTACACTATTAAGTTATACCAAACACACAAAAATAACTTATTTTAAGCTATAAGTTGACTTAAACTTAAAATAAGCTGTGTCAAATAGGCACTTAAACTTTTTTATTGTCAATCACAAATATGGACACATTTGATAGGCATTGGGGAAATTAAAAGGCAACAAAAAGTAAAACCACCTAAAAAAAACTACAAGCATTATTAATGTTTGAATAATACATGGGACTCCTAAAATTTGTGGCATCCATAACTTCTAATTAATTTATGATCACTCATTATTTTTTTTCCCCTCTATCTCCTCTCTCTCTCTCTCTCATGTGTGTCGGGTGTGGGGTCCTGGGCCCCCTATCATTGCTGCTTGATATTGGTGATTTGAATAATTTATTTTTAATATTTATTATGCTGATGATGATATTATTTATTTTAAAAGAAATGTGACTTGATTATATGATTATTGATATTTGATGAATATAGTTTTGACATAAATAATATACTCAACATCAATAGTTAATTACACTTAGCACCTATAATCTCTCTTTAGCCCTTTCATCTTTAATTGTAACAATTACATTTTAAGTCAAATTATAATTCCCTTCTGTTTATTTATTATTAATGAGGTTGATGAAAATTAAAAGCAAATGAATCAAAGTGAAATTTTAAAAAAAAATGTACGTAATAAATTGAGATTCTGATGAAGTGTAAGGGCGTTACAGAGACAAGAGAATGTCACATTTAGTGTAAATTGAGTATTCTACATCTACTGCCTATGATACAATTTTCTATCGTATTGGAATATTCTCTCTCTATTATTAAAAATAATGGAGGTCATTTCATTTCAATTCTTTAACGTAAGCGAGACACATCCAAAAAACTTTTCCGAAATAATGATGCTTCTGTCTATAGAATAATTGATGAAAAAAAACATTTTTCGTTGTCTAGCAAAAGCAAGAATAATTATCTATCTGGAATGTTTCCCTGCCAAACACATCCAATTTGATTAATTAACAAAATCCTTAAATGATTAAAGATCTTACTAATAAGTGCGCACAAGAACAAGAAAAAAAAAATCTGACATAAAATAAAAGAACACAGAACATTTTCACTGAAATCAATTTTATTTTTATTTTTTTTTTTTAAAAAAGCTTGTTTTCTTCGATTTCAATATTAAATAATGTTTTAATGATACTCATTAACATCTCCCAATTCAAAGTTAAGTGGGCCCCTTAATAATAAAACATTAGAGGGCGCATCATAATCCAAACTAACTTCCTTAGTTCCAAAGCATCCATCAAATATAGATAAAATAGTTCCATTCCAAATATACAAAATTAGGTAAATTAGTTATGAAAATAATGTTTACAAATCAGCATTAATGGTCGGTTTGACCACACCTAATTGGTGTATAATTAATATGTATATATTGTGCTGGGAAAAAAATCGCACAAAATTTCATCAACGCAACTTGGCTCATGGAAAGTCTAGCAAACATGACTCAAATAATCAAATCACATGTAGTCGAATAATTTTCTTCTATTAATAGAGACATTAAATCACTGTTTCCACATTTATTGTACATACATAGAAATACAGGAGTCAAAGCCTTACTCGTGTGCACAGTGAACGTGGCAACCATATCATGACTGTCGAACCCGTGTTACAATCCAGTGAACCTGTTGAACAAGAAAATGCAGAAAGAGTACAGTGTTATTTTAATTTGGCTGTTAATTTGTTTCAAAGTGAGAAGATGGTTTGGTGGTGATAGTGAAAAGCAGTCGTTGATCTTAACACTTACAACGTTGTTTTCAGGGGCATTCCAGTAGAATCCTTGAATTGCTATAACAGCTAAGTTAGAGCTTACGAGAACAAAAATACTGAGAGCATGTTTTCCAATCCACTCCAGCGCATATGTCAAATGTCTGTGACCATGAATATCTACCTGTAACAGAGAAAATAGGAAGCAGGTCGATTTGATTATGTCTTTGACAATCAGAATCAATATATGAAGAAGTAATTATAAAAGTGATACATTAGAAGTACAGAGCAACAAAATTAAAGAGGCCAATCAATTTGCTCAGCAGATAAAATCCAAATGCAACTACCAGAAGCAATCAATGGCAGTAGAAAATTTTCATTTGAGAAGTCAAACATTCATAGGTCATTCAGGCACAAAATGGAGAGTGATTCAGTGACATTTTGATTGTTCAAGTGGTTGACTAAAAAGAAAGTTCACAAGTCATGTTCTATGCCTTTAGCTCAATTAGTAACAGGAAAAATTCTAAATTTAAAAACTAGAATTAAGAGTTGAAAAAAGTATGTGGCAATGGAAGATAATTTGTGTCTTTACTGAATCTTACTTTAATCACGTTCTATGCTCTTCTTTATTTTTATTTTTGTTGGGAAGGTGAGTATGTAGCAATGGAGGATAAATTGTGTCTTTACTGAATATTACTTTAATCAAGTTCTATCCTCTTTTCCTTCTTTTCTTTTTTTTTTTCTTTTGGGAAAGGTGAGTAAAAGATATTTTTGTTGTCCAAATATTAACAATAAATCCATGAAGTGCTGTCTGAAAGTTTTCAACCATTCAATTTAATGTTATTGTTTAGAACTCACCAATATATACAGAGCAGAAAATGTAATTCCTGCAGATGCAGATGTAACCAGCATGTAACTGATTGTGTACAGAGGTTTGTTCAAAGGGATACCTGAAAGGAAAAGAAAAAGTCAAATATCAGTATCTTGGCTATTGAAGCGTATAAATTTAAATCCAGATTTTAATTTCCTGGCATCCCTCTCAAACGAACAGGAGCACCCAAGGTCAATTTCAGCCAAGTAGAAAAAAAAAACAGAATTCTAACGTTGGCGGTGCAGAAAATCCCTTTTAGCATTATCATTATTTCCCTTACTTTTTTACTTATCCTTCTAATACCGTGTCTTCTTAAAAAGTAAAAATAATAATAAGTTAGGAGAAAAAGGATGGTCATCATTAAGCATACCTACTAGGGCAAGGAACAATCCAATTCCCAAAAATGAAAATGAAAATATGCACCAATTGTATAACTGCTCTTTATGGTGTCCTGCAACACAATTCAGAAACGTTAGATTCCCTTTATTTATGTAACTGATAGGAACACAACAGATGATTTCGGCCATTCACAGTATGTATCTCTGAGATAAAATTGCGCCTCCATGAATGAATTGTCTTTTGAGTCATCTAATAAAGGGAATGCTTACATTCTAAAAGTGTAATATAAGGCATTAAGCAATTATATTCTTGCAAACTGTCTCATTTTCATCCAGGGAATGCGCGAAAGTATTAACTTAACAACAATAACATATTGCCATTTATCTAGATTTATTCTTAAATCCTGCAGGTATTGGCATTAAATTTTTTTACAAAGTAAACTCACCAATTGAGTTTTGTGAAATGCTAGGCTTCATGAAAAAAATATCAAGAAAAGCTTCATGAAAATTCTCCATCTTTAGATTAGTTTGTAGTGTTTTATTGGATGTCATGCAATCATCCTTAGATTAGTTTCATGAAGTTTTTCTTGATATTTCATTCATGAAGCATGGCATTACTCTTTGAGTTTTCTAAGAATACACGTGCCCATTAATTTATCAAAAAAAAAGAAGAAAAAGAATACATGTGTCCATTAAAGTTTAGCAGTAAACACCAAAATTAAGAGAAAAGATAAAAAGTAGAGAACAAGGGAACAATCAATTGGTGCAAAGATGTCTTACCTGTAATTGTCCAAGAATGTGGCCATACTGAAGTCCAATTATGCACGTCACAGCAGCTGTCAAGGAACTTCAAATACAGGGTGTCAACAGTACACATTACAACTCCTTGAAGGTTTTTTAATAAACTATAAAGTACAGTCACTTCTGCATATCTAAATTCAAACTATTAAACAAATGTGCCTGAATCATGTAAGTTATAGATCTAAATATGCTTTCATGACTAATCCAATTTAAGGAACCATTTAATCATAGCCAAATATAAATGACGTCATATTACAGGTTCAAAATACCAATATTTCACGCGTATTGCATTTTCATGTAATAAAAATGAAGACAGCGACGATAAGATGATACATAATAGAACAGAGGTTTGAAGTGCCATCACGCAGGAAAAAGAAAGGATTAGATTGGTCACCTTAATATACCTTCAGGATCAAAAGCAGCATGACACCATGACGGTGAATTATCTGAAAGTTGGCTACTGCTGGAAATATTGCATTCCTGTGAAGGGGATGCCATATAGGAATCAACTGATTGCAGAATGTAAACCAAAATTTTACAAAATTTTACCTTCAGAATAGAGTTACCTTCAAGTTTCTATAAACGGGTTTTGTATATAGATGATTAAGACCAAGAACATAACGATCTATCATTCCAGCAGCATTACAGGCAGGTCCATGATCTCCTCTTGTGGAACATGTCACCTAATATGACAAACCTCATGAATGGAGGATTTAGATTATTTAACAAGTTTTTGTAATATGGATAATTATCTTCTGTGTAATTTCTCACATATTAGCAAGTATTCAACTATTATGTATGTCCCAATATCAAATAGAAGAAAGAAATGAGTTGATGCTTAACGCAGTAATATTTGAGAATCACTATAAACACTAAGAATGGCATAGACATCCTTTTGTCTTAAGGTGACTTGAACACTGCAAAACATGGTTTCCACAATAAATCACATGCTCTGAAAAAGCATGAAGATTGGAATATTCAAATTCAACACTCCTATTTAGCTTGCTTGTGTTTAGAATAATCAATATGTGGTTAAAGTAATCGAATTTCAACCAAGATATTCTCTTTTGCTACTAAAATGACTGACTTAACACAATGCTTTTACATATTACCTTCAAAAGAAAAACAAATTATCCTAGATAAGCATATCTGAGGATGATATACCATTTAAAAAGTGCCTATCAAAACCCTTCAGCAGTGACTGGAGATGAAAGTAAGCTCACACATTCATTCCACTTCAAAGCCAACAAACTCACCTTCCAACCAAGTCACACACACACACACACACACTCCAAAAAAAAAAAAATGTCTCCCTACCAACATCCCTAAAATCTCCAAGAGAGTGTCAACATGACAAATCAGCTGTTGGCGGGAAAGTTAAGAGTGTAGAGCATATCTTACTGTGTAAACAAAGCTTCCATTTTTGGGAGGCATAGAAGTTGAGCTCAGTAACTCAAATTGCCAATCTGGAACATACAGGCCATATGACAACCCCAAGTATACTACCAACAAGGAACATGCAATGCACCTACAAAACAGCATTTCACATTGTCACCAACTATTGAAGGGTGAAAGAGGTAGAAGATAAAAAATGATTTTTTTTTTTTTCCTATTATCTGAATTAACCATTCATTTAAACATAAAATGTTTCAAACTTTGTTTCAAAAACTTTATGAACATCAATTCATCTTGTGAAGAATTAAATGTGGAACAAATGGAAAGTAAGCAATCAACATTGAGTGGGTGGATCATACCCATGTATAAAAATTTGATCTGCCGAATTTCAACAATTATTTGAAAGTTTCAATACCAGAATCACATAGTTGCATTTATTTATTTATTATTTTTAATTTAAGAATAGATAGATTTCTCTCAAAATATATAATTAGGCATAGCAATGTGATTTGGTTGCTTGGTTAATTTTAAGTACAACATATAGTTTTAACTTAGATTATGATTTATGAATTTAAAATCATCTAAGCTTATATGGTGCATGTACGAAATGAGGTGATCCACATTGAACAAGATGTTGCGGTGATCGATTCTACATTTTACTGGTATAATAAGTCACGAGAATGTCTAGTAGGATAGTTGAAAAATTGAAGTAAAGTCAAATATTCCCTTCGGTGTGAAGTGCCACTCTTTTCTTGTTATTCTTCCTTTTGTAATTTTTTTTTTAATTTTTTTTTCAAACTTATGAAAACCACATCTTCCATTTTCTTTCTCATGCTACTTAATTCACAAAAATCCTGAACTTTGCCCAAAGATGTCCAGGTAAATGATTCAAAAACAATTTATTAATTTAAATACAGGCCATTTATGCTAGTTTCTAATTGATTTTGCGAGAAACAATTAGGAAATTAGCTCTTTACTTCTTTTTCTTCTTTTTTTATTTATCGGTAATGCATCATCATACTACCCGATGTTTGGAAGGGTAATAATATTTTTCAGTTTTCATCATGATGCTCAACCTTGTTCAATAGAATAAATGCTTGACAATTTAGCTTATCTGAAGTGAATGAGGCTAAACATCCAAGTATTCATTGTCATCATTATCAAATGTGTTAACTACTCTTTCATGTCTCATAAAAGTTTTGAAAGATGAATCTAAATGTTTAGTAAAATATATTAAGGACACTTAAATATCGACCCAAACCCAATATTTCAACCCATACAAGGAAACAAAAGAAGTGAAATTAAAGTTTCTTCAAGTAAACAACTCCAACTTTTCAAATATTATGCACAAGCCTTGAACATTACAGAACGGAAATTGATGCCAGATATGGTAACTAACCATTGCCAATAATATATCCTGAAAAAACCTACTTCCCTCCACCTTTGACATGGAAGCCATATCTCACACAAAGCTGCGACAATGTATCCAATGGATATCCTCTGGATTGAATGAAAAGATGCAGAAGTTCATTATTCCTAATGAAAGAAAGCAAGGTTGCAATAGAGAAACACTTCCCTTAACTATTATTTGTACCACACATTCACACTGGTAAATAAGTTTATTATGTTTATGACCTGGGTGATTATCATTGTTTTGACAATATTGCTAGAGTTAGTGAAATTCCTGACAATTTAGAAATATGATGGTAGCATTTGGTTTAATTTTAGAATCATGATTTGATAATGAAGTTGTATTTTGAGTTTGTGAATTGTTGAATCATGATTTGAGAAGAGAAAATTTGTTTGATTATGAGTTTAGAAAAGAGTTTTGAATTGAGTTTTGACTTTTTGAAATGAGTTTTGACTTTTTGAAATAAGAAAAGTTTTTTTGGTTATGAGTTTTGAAAAGAGTTTTTAAAACTTAATTAAAAAATTTATAACTCATAACCAAATACACAACTCAAAACTCTATTGAAAATTCTATTCAAAGCTCATAACTAAATTCTTTTTAAAATTCAATTCAAAAAAATAATTATTGAAAAAAAAAAACTTATTTAAAAAATTCAAAATATCCCGAAAATATTTTTTTTATTTAAATATTAAAAAATATATATTATTTTTTGTTTAAAAAAAATATTCAACTAGTGCTTTAAAATTACTTTTGATTGTATATTTGATGGGAAATTTTTTTTAATTGTTTTATTTAAAAATATTTCATTATTTTTTTAAAATTACTGTGACAAATTAATTTTTATTTAAACTTTTTTTTGTTAATTTTAAATAAATGGCCAAATAATCTGTCATTTTGGATTAAAAATAATAATTTCTATATTTTAATTTAAACATATCAAAAACAAATATATATTTTTTTTCTTCAAATAGCAGGTGGCAATTGCAAAAAAAAAAAAAAACTGTTCCGGTTGACAAGCCGGACAACCGGATACACCAAAAAATTCATAAACTGTTCGAGAGGCTGTCTAGGCAGACGACAGGGTAGACCCAATTTCAAAATTCAAACACAACACTGAAATAGGAGGGTGGAATTATGATTCAACCCCTAAACCAAACACAGCCGACAGTGTTCTATGTCAAAAAATTTGAACCGGTAAAGTTAATAGCCTATGATTAAGGGATCTTATATTGAATTTGAAGGTGAATTTTAAATGTTTAACATGCTAAAAGATCCATTTTTCGTGAAACCCATGCATATTAACATGCATTGATTACCTCTAAATAATCCCTCTGTTTTCAAAGAGATTGAAGTGATCATGAATCTATGTACAAGTGGGTGGTCATTTGTCGAATGCACATAAAAAAATAGAGGTGGAGTTAGAGATTTTACTTTTCTGACAAGAGTTATCCTTGGCACTAAAAAAAATAGTGCATGTGTAGAAAGAATTGTCAAGACAAACAATAAAAAGAAAAGGCTGAAAGCATGAAAAAGACCTGCAAAATGCCCATCCAACGTATTCTTTCAATGTCAACACCATATGTCAAAGATGTTATTCCATGCAGATAACCACCTAAAACGAAAGAACACAAGTTCTTAAATTCTACAACTATACCTGGAAATCATATGGTCAAATTTATGTAACAGAAATGATATGAGATGACAGCAGCATAATATAGTTCAAACTGTAAGACAACAGCAAGATCACAGACCAAGAAAATGTGTTAAACCAACAAGGGAAATTGGCCGCACACTCTCATATCTTGTCCTTTATTTAGTTTCAAAAGTGAAATTTGCAGCAATTATACTTCCATCACTCATGGTAAATGAATGTTCTAAATAAAACATAATGCCAATTACAGTATTGACCACTAGAAATAGAAAACAGTTGCTGAGGGCCACAAAGGGTACAGGAATGTTAACTACAAGAATTCTTCTCCTGTAGTTAAAGTGGAATTTGAGTGATTCACTTACTTAACAAACAGAATGGAAAAGTCTTCCACAATAAGCGTGCCATTCATCACGGAATTGTTGGAAGTCTATATATAATGCCCAAAGTGTTTGGCATGGCCCAATTAGATGCGTTTATGTATTATAGGATGTAAGTTGAAAGTTGTGCACAATATTACCTTGAAGAAGAACACCAAGGAAAAAAAGCTTCAACGCCCTAAGCAATGCTTTCTGTGTAGCATCTACTCTGTCTGAAACTCTCTGAAATTAAAAAAAGGGGAGCCTTTAGTACTGAATGATTGACATCCTCAATAATCATTATTTGAGTACATTATTGAGTGCAAATGTCAGGCCACTATATAATTATATGGAATTTCATAGCATGTAAAGCTAATTATCAAATTTAAGAATAAAAAGTTACAGATCTCTTGGCAAAAAGATTTGTTTTCCTGGATAAATATTCAATCACTACCTTATATCCAAGTGCAAGAGAAACCCCAGCAATGAAAAGAAAGAAAGGCATCACAAAGTCTGCCAAGTGTACACCATTCCATGGGGAATGAGCAATGATTGGAAGAATCGAGCCACCATAATCCACGAGCATCATAAGCTGAAAGCAAATGATACAATATATCATAAATTCCATGAGCTGAAAATATCAATATCAACAGAGTGGTCAGTTGTTATGCTTATGTTTTAAGGCTTGAGTTGAATTTCGGAGGCATTTAACCCAAAATCAATTGGCAATAGTTGCAAAGGTTTCTAGATTATATCAATTAAGTTTGTGTGTCTTAGAAAGAGATGTGAGGCAAGTCTCTAACAATTCTCTGCTCGGGCTCCCGTGTAGTTGATAGACTGATGAACGAAACTAAACAACAGATCCACGACACAGACTTACTTGCCAAGCAATAAATTCAAAATCTGCATTTAAATATAGGTAGTAAATTCACATTAAAAATTTAAAAACTTGTGTCTTTACCAAATATAAGAAATGAAAGCATCATGAGGAATTAATCTGGATTACTTTCATTCTCATTTTATTCATGCAATGCAAGAACCTCCCTTGTAACTCTGCTTTCTCTTCTGATTTAGTTTCACTTCTTCACTAGAAGTTAAAAAATATAGATCTAAGATATGAGAACTCTAAGCTCATCAATAATTAAAATATACAGAATTGATCAATTCTATTGTCAGAATCATCGCATTACAAGTTTATTAATCGTTCATATACACGTTAATGTGTGATGCAATTCACATCTGTATGGAAATCCTACAAGTTGACTTGCTACTAGTACTGCAGACAGAAATTTCAATCGTCTGGATGAATCTGCTTATAATTTCTAAATTAAACTGAAAGTAACAATTTCTGTGGTTTCATACTTCGATTGAAGATAAAACAAGATAACAGCAATTTATGCCAGAAATTTCAAAGCGTTTGGATGAATCTGCTTACAATTTCAATTGTTTCAAACTTTTCATCATGTTGAAATTCGATTGAAAACAACAATTTCTATGGCCGCATTAACAGTATAGCATGATGATCATATCGATCACGTAGCATGATGATCAAAACAATTACAAATACTTGATCGCAGAAATGAAAGAAGAAGAAAAACAGAGTGACAAAGCAAGTTGAAAACAATCGCAAAAACAGAATAAACAAAAAATGAAAAAAAAAATCGAAATGTAGATCGAGAGAGATCGAAATTGAAGTTGGGAGAGAGAAGAGAGTTTACGAAGACGCAGAAGCCGCGAAACAACACATCAAGAGAAGCGACGCGAGTAATTTTTGGATGAATCTGCTTACAATTTCAATTGTTTCAAACATTTCTTCATGTTGAAATTCGATAGAAAGTAACAACTTCTATGGCCGCATTTTGAAAGCATAGCATGATGATCAAAATAACTACAACTACTTGATCGCAAAAACAGACTGACGGAGCAAGTGAAAACGATCGCAAGGACTGAATAAACCAAAAAAGGGGAAAAAAAAAAATCGAAATGCAGATCGAAATTGAAGTTGAGAGAGAGGAGAGATTACGAAGACGCAGAGGCCGCGAAAGACATCGAGAGAAGCGACACGTGTAGTTTTTCGAGCTCTGGTCTTGGCGTTGGCGACAGGAACAACGTCCTCTGGCTGTTCTTCGTCTGCTTCGTTGTTCGATAAGGACTCGTACTCTTGCTCTCCCATTTTTCTCTGTTTCAACTGAGAGTTTTGGAAGAGAGGAGACTTTGAGTTGAAAACCGCCAGAACAGAAGCGTCGTTTTGTAGAAAGGGTGAGAGAGGAGTAATTATTCTATGCTTCAGAAATTTATCAGTTTGGCAACAAACTTATAAAAGGATATATAGAAAAATGGGTAAATTATATAAATAGTCCAAATAGTTTATACGATATGTCAATTTAATTTTTGTTATTTTAATTTGTTTGATTTTGTCCATTAATTTAACAAATTATGTCATTTTTGTCCAATAAATAACGGCTGTTAAGTTTGGTAGATGAAAAATCAAATTATGTGTCAATTTGGTCTTTGTAGTTTACACAATGTGTCAATTTGGTCCCGGTCAAAATTGAGAAAATTAAAACTGCAGGGACTAAATTGATATATTGTGTAAACTATAAGGACTAAATTGACACATTATATAGATTTTTCGTCTACCAAACTTAACAGCCGTTATTTATTGGACTCAAATAACATAATCTGTTAAATTAAAGGACAAAATCGAGCAAATTGAACCAATATAGACCAAATTGACACATTGTATAAACTATAGAGACCATTTGCATAATTTATCCTAAAAAAATAAAGACACAACTTCTAGCAACTTGTTAACTAAAACTCATGATAGTCAAACCAAACCTTAAGGATTAGGATGTGAGATTGGACTATTAGTCTTACCGGACTAATAGTCTATTGTTTGTTTCATTTTTTTTCTTCGGACTAATAGTCCCCCGGACTATTAGTCCCACAAATATGGGACTATCCTATCCCATGGGAGGAGGTGGGATAAAAACCATGGGATTGGTATCCCATGAGATTATTTTGTGAAATATCCATTTTACCCTCTATGCTATTACTTAGCAAACAATTAGAAAATGATAAAATAGTCTTTTGAACATTTATAAATTATTTTTTTAGTGTTGTTAATTTAAAATTATATATTAAATAAAAAAAATTAATTATAAATTATAAATTTAATTTAATTTAATTAAAAATAATAAATTATAAATTATGGCCTTATAAATTAAATTTTTTTAGTGTTGTTAAAAATTTAAATTTACATATTAAATTAAATTATTTTTTCAGTGTTGTTAATTTAAAATTATATATGAAATAAAAAATATAAATTATAAATTAAATTTATTTTAAAATAATAAATTATAAATTATGGCCTTATAAATTAAATTTTTTTGTATTGTTGAAAATTTAATTTATATATTAAATAAAATTATTTTTTATTGTCGTTAATTTAAAATTATATATTAAATAAAAAATATAAATTATAAATTGAATTTATTTAAAAATAATAAATTATAAATTATGGCCTTATAAATTAAATTTTTTTAGTGTTGTTGAAAATTTAATTTATATATTAAATAAATTTATTTTTTATTGTCGTTAATTTAAAATTATATATTAAATAAAAATAAAAATTATAAATTTAATTTAATTGAAAATAATAAATTAAAATAATTAAAATATTGTGCAAAAAATAAAATAAAACAAAATTTTATTTAATCTAACTAAAAATAATTAAAATATTAAAGTTATGTTTAATATTGCTATTACTTAGTAAATAATTGAAAATGATAAAATAGTCATTTGAGCATTTATCATTCTCCATAATATCCCAAACAAACATTGGATAACTAAAAATAATTCAATCCAGATATCTAATCACATGACTAAATAAACATAGGATACAAATTTAGTCCAACCAAATAGTCCCGGGACAATGTATCTCAGGACTAATAGTCCGATAGATTACAATCCCTCATTATCCAATCGGTCCAAATAAACGCACCCAAAATTGATTATGTGTCTAGCTGATAGTAAAAGTTAAATGAATACATAAGCTTAATAATGAGACAAGATTATTTTGAAAAAATGATTAAAAATCATCTTTCATTTTTTAATTTATTTTGAAACACATTACTATTTCTCATAATTTTTTACATGTTTTTGTAAAAAAAATTAACTTTTAACTTTTTTCTTAAAATAGGTAAAGAATAATATTTTATTGATCGGGTACATACACGCATAATATTCATGATCTATTAGATAATTTGTGGTGAAAGATAGTGCGTACTACTGCTTTGTTATCCATGGTAGTACCAAAATTAGTTAGGTGGAGAGGCGCCATTGAGCTAGCTGGGCCGATTTGGATTAATTTCTTAACTTATTTGATAACGTACCTATCAAAGTTTGGTTATCTTTGTTTCTTTAATGCGTATTTGCCTAGTTAAATCTTACCCAATAGTGTAACTATCAAAGTTTGGTTATGTTGATTTCTTTAATGGATATTTACGAAGTATTTGGTTTAGTAGTTGTGGAGAGCTGTTTGTGGTGTGAATTTTGGAATTCAATTCTTCTGAAGTGAAGATTAATATCATTGTGATAGTTAATTTATTTCTCTTCTATTATGGGAGTTATAACTTATATGTAATTAGTAGTGATTGTTAAATTTAGATGAATTGATTGTTAGATCTTACTATTATGAACTAGGAATGACAATTATTTTGATAATTATCTATTTTAGTTGATTTTTTTGACTAATTGACTTGTTATGCTGTTTTTTTTTTATTTTTTAATCTATTACCAAAACAATCTTTACTATTATTTCTTAAAATTTTAATACAAATGTAATGAATCTTATAATATATATCAACAATTATCAAATTTGAAACATCACTTGAACTTGTTCTATAAGTATTGAATAATTCCATATCACTAAGATATGTAGAGCTACTAATCAAAAACCTGTGTTAAGAGCTACATTTTATTCAAGCATTATTATAAAACACAAATTTTGACTAACTTAAAATAATAAAATCTATAATTATAGGTGAGATTAACACTTTGTTTAGTTGAGAGATTTGAAAAAGGGATTTAAAAAGGAAAAAGAAAAATATAAATGAAATATGAACAAAATATATTTATATTGTACTTAATTTCATCCACATTTTCTTTCTCTTTATAAATTTCTTTTCAAATTTTCTAACCAAATACAGTGTTAGATAATTTTTTGAATGTTTAGATTTACAACTTTAAACTAATCAAATCAAGTTTTTTTTGTTTTTGTTGACATACACTCTAAAAGTGTGTGGTGAAAGCTGAAAAAATCCAAACCGGCAGGTATATCCTATGTGTGGGGGTGTCGTGTTGGGTCTATTTAGTGCTTTGCCTACGCATGGTTCGAAATCGGTTAGGTGGCGAGTTGTGATCGACGAATAAAGAAAAACCAAAGTCTTATCCCGCGTTCCGGTGATGCAGAGCTACCAATATTTTAGGTCAAGTTTGGCTACAAAGGAAAAAGTGCACTTATTTCATCTTTTTATCTTTTTTGAGTCACATCAATCAACATCTCCTCTCTACTTTTTCTACACATAATACAAAAAAAGTCAAAAAGTGCACTTATTTAGTCTTTTTTTTAATTTTTTTTTTATTTTTATAATTTACAAGACAAAAATATTCTAATAAACTTATAAAGCAGGCAAAGAGTGCTTAATTTCTACTTTTTAATTTTTAATTTTTAATTTGTAAAATGTTACACCAAACAAACTTAATAGGGGAATTGACCAGTAAATCTCATTTTGTGGACTTATAATCCATAAGGTCCTGAATGTTTTCTTAGTGACCGGGTGGTCCATTAATTTGTTTTTTGACAGTTTTGCCACTGCTAGTATTATTGATTGACATTTGGTGTGGGTTTGTATGTGATAAGGTGAATGGGTGTTTGTATGTCACGTTGATTGAAAAAGTACACTAATGCTTTTTTTAATTTAGTAAGTGTGTAACACTCAAAACATGAGACGTGGGTTGTGACGTGAACACAAGTAATTTAACACATTTATTTATTTATTTTGTGACATGGGTTGTGTCACGTTTCGGCTTTCCCACAGTTTGACTCTTTATTTTCCAATTGCCATTTGTGACGTTTCGACATGAATCTTACCATTGGTTGAGTTCACGACATAACCCAAAAACATGGGTTCGAATTACCAAAGCAAGCCCAGGATTGCAAATTCAATGCCGAAACATGTTGCAACGTTGTGTTCTTCAGCGAGTTCCGCACAGGGTGCAGAGCATGCATGCATTGGTTGACATTGAAAACCAGGAAAGAGATTTGAGAGAGAAACAATTTTGGTCAATCCCAATACATAATTCTTTCTCCAATTATGATTATGTAAACAACCTACAAAATCTTCTTTTATATCAGTTATATACATATACATATATATACCACATAAAATATATGAAAACATTATTCACAGAACCCATCAGGTAATCAAGCCATTCAATTAATGAGAAGTTTAGAAAAAGAATCGATAAAAGACATATAATATACACACAAATTGTTAAATTTAGGCAATCAATAATCTATCTGCCCGATTCCGTCATCAACGTCTTGTATTCTGTTTTCGGGTCAATTTGACGATGCGACGTGGTACGCCAACCTGCCGGTTTGACAATCATCTTGTGCCCATTGTTCACGTCGATTTGGGGTTTCTCGATCGAACTCGAACTGGTTACGATCGCTTCAGAAGAGGCCCTGTGAAAAATGGATTTAGTACTGTTCACGTCGATCTTGTGCCCAATGTTCACGACGATCATCTTGTGCCCACTCTTCTTCTTCCCCATCTTCGTCTCCGGTGACCGCTACAGTCTCTTCTTCAGGTGCGTTTCAGAGCATGTGCTTGACAAGTCCCATACGGCGTTTCTCGACATCAAACAATCAAAATTCACCTCTCAGTAACAGAGGATTGAAGGGTACAAGCGGAGGAAATCGCTGATCTTCGGGCGAAAGAAAATGTCTTTCAATGTCCAAAGAAAACATAGAGGAGTGTGTTGCTTACACAGTTCACATCCCTGCAACACCAGATCGGCGAGACATGTCTGAGTCCCAGACTAGCCCCTTTGAAGACAACAAGAAATCAGGGCACCTAATGGGGGGTTCTTACATTAAGGATACTATTTACACTGGAGGATTCAATTCTGTGACGCGAGCCCATTGTAATCGAGAACTAGGTGGATGAACCCAAGGCAGTGAAATCAGAATTGGTTTGTGGAATGAAGGGTTGTTA